CCTTTGTCGGCATTTACGAAACATATTCGACCATCTTTGTTATGTTTGAACCAATATTGACGGTTTCTTATTATTATTTTTTATTTGTAAACTGTTCGCTGAAATGATAGATTACTTTCATGATAATATGTTTTTTTATATATGTATATAGGTGATATGCTAGCAATAGTTAAGGTTTTCATCATGCATGTCACGGTTCCAGACACCGCACTTATTCTGCCAACAATTGCTGAAGCACGTACCCTCGGTGAAGTAGTCCATGTCGATCCCATCGACCGGACGTACAAAAATGTATGTAATTTATCTTAGAAAGTTTATTTTTTGTAGTAATTTATTCATTTTACAATTAAATATTTATATAACTTATTTATTCATTGCAGCTAGTTCACCACACCTTAGTTCATCCTCTATACTTTTGCCACTGCATGAGCATCCACGCACTATGTATATGTTTGAACTTGTACTGATGTCTTACATGTTTTCTATACTCGATTAAGCATTTTGTGTATAACTATGACGTCTTTGGGGCTTACTTGATGATCATTTTGTGCATAAGTATGTAGTATTGGCTTATTTCTTTATGTAGTCCTTATTTGTGTAGTTGACACGATTGTTAGTGTAACTGATTATGAGATCCCTTAGACTGTGGTTCGATAATTTTCATTCTTTTTAGGTTTTATGATGGATTTCATAGGGAATATGGAAAAAATTTTTTTTATTAATTTTCACGAAATAGATGTTACAAAAATCATTACAATTGTGTCTTCAGGTCATAACAAAAAGTTATTTTAATGGACAAGTGCTTTATTTTTGTCACGAAAATATGTTTCAAAAATCATTACAAAAATATATATGGGTGTCAAAAACATTTGGAATGCATTATTTGTTATGTCTATGCTTCGTTACAAACAGACATTTATTTCTTGTCACGAACAAGACACCGTTATAAAAATTGATACAAAAAATATTGTAACTGTCGGAAAATTTTTGCACCGTATCATTTGCTATGGAAATTATACGTTATGAAACGAATTCTACTTTTTTTCGCGTACAAAAAATGGTAACAAAAAGTTCTCCCATATGCATTGACCATCACTCTTATGCAACGACATTTGTGGCGACACAAATTGTTTGTTACTAGAGTAAACATACCGACATAAATTCACAATGAAATCGTTACAAATAGTTTTTTTCCATAGAAAATGAGTACTTGTAGCGGGTTCAATTCCGTTAGAAATAGACATTTTTTTTGTAGTGGCACTCACAAAAGCTAAGATTTTGTGGACAGAGCTTTAGAGAGTGAAAGTGGATAAATTATTGAGAGCTTGAAATGCAAATGAGAACTATATGCTCTATATGTGAGGGAGGGGTTGACCGTTGATGTTCTTTTATAGGCCAAGTATTCCGTTACACTATTCTACAATGTACAACCTTCTAAACCATACGTACAAGTATCTACGAGGATCTATTGGATTCGCCAAGGTTCTATCATGTTCCGAAAGCTTTTGAAAAGATTCTGGGAACATTCCTCAACCTAGACCTTCATTAACATCTAATATTCTGCAATGTTTTTTCTAAGTTTTTTGCCTAAAACTTACGATGAACCTTTAGTCTTATCCCAACACATTTTCTTGTGGGGAATAAATCACGTTTGGAAAACCAATTTAATGTGATTCTAGAGGCTATCCAACTTACCTTCATTCAACATTATCATACCACAAAATTTTCCTATTCCAATAGCAACATGTTATTCTATGAATACTTTTTACCAAATTTTGACTATAGTTCATGCTATAAAAATAATTCCTATCCGCTTTTCAAATAAGTTTTTATGAAGCTCCTTGTTAGCGATTATTATGCTAATTAATTATGCATCTTCTATACTTAGCTCCTTAATTGTGTCCCGTAGATTACTCTTGTCTTTACTTACCTTCCCTAGTCTATTTCATAAATTTCTCTTATCATTCTATATAATCATATGTTGTAATTCTCTTCAAGTGCAATAAATCATATTATTCCAACATTCACATGGTATCAGCCAATTAGGTGTGAAACCCTCCGTTCGGTTTGTTCACCACCGTCCTGCTGCTGCGTTCCTTCTTCATTTTCTATGGCAGAACAAGATCCTCCTACCCTTCCCCTCTCTACTATGATTCACATGGTCCCTATCAAATTAACCTCTACCAATTATTTACTCTGGCATGCCCAGATCGAGCCCCTCCTCGCCAGTCAAAATTTTTTGTCTCTCGTCGATGGCTCTTCTTCACCACCTTCCGCCAATATCACCACCGCTGATGGCCAACAACCAAATCTTGCGTACACACATTGGCACTACCGTGATCAACTCTTGAAGTTGTTTCTTATCTCCACACTTACCGAGGACTCGATGGCCCTCATGATCGGATGCAAAACATCTAGGGACGTTTGGGAGGCCCTTTCTCGGGCATACAGTTACGACTCTAAGGCTCGTGAAATCAGCCTTAAAGATGCTCTTTGGTCTGCAAAGCGCGGCAGTCTTACGGTGGCCGAATATGGTCGACACTTTAAATCCTTGTGTGATCAACTTGCGGCTATAGGACGACCAGTTGACGGGTCTGACAAGTCCCACTGGTTTCTGCGGGGTCTCGGCGCAACCTTCTCTAGCTTCACCACCACCCAGCTTGCTCAAGATCCTCTTCCTGATTTTACAACTCTTTTGGCTCGGGCACAAAGCCATGAACTTTTTCAGCAATATATTGATGATTCATCCTCCTTGCAGGCTACTGCCTTCTCTGTAATTAACCAAGGACAGAGGCACACTGCTACTACCACCAATGGTGGACGAGGTCGATCGTCTAACAATCGGGGTCGTGGCAGACGTATTGGTGGTGGTCGGGGTCGTCACAACTTCAGACAGTGGTGTTACTTTTGTCGAGAAACTGACCATGATGCTTTTGATTGTCCTAAGCGCTTTGATCGATCCTATGATCGCTCCTGCAGGCCATCCTCCACAGCAAACCTTACTGAAGCCTTCTCGGCTGGATGTTCTCTCTCTGCACCGGCTGTTTCGGACTGGTATTTGGATATCGGGGCATCGGCTCACATTACCTCCGATGTCACCCAGCTTGACACTGCCTCCCCCTATTCTGGAACTGATCGCATAACTGTTGGTAACGGTGCAAGTCTTTCCATTTCTCATACTGGCTTCTTACATCTTTCTCCGGATCTTAATTTGAATAATGTTCTTGTCGTGCCTGGCATCACTAAAAATTTATTGTCTATTAGCAAGCTAACTCGAGACAGTCTAGTTCAAGTACTTTTCACTGACTCCACATTTCAAATTCAGAAACGGGATACAGGTCAACTCCTCGCAACAGAAAACCATGACCATGGACTTTATCGGCTGGATTCACAAGCTGCTGCCTTTTCTGCGATAATTCATAATAAAAAGGTGCATGCTGGCTTTGAACTATGGCATTCTCGTCTTAGCCATGTGGCGCCTTCTTTCATTAGATTATTACATAAATTGGGACTGGTTTATGTTACTTCTTTATTGCCTACTCCTGGATTATGCAACTCTTGCCAATTAGCTAAAAGTTCCCGGTTACCCTTTACTACAAATGTCAGTCGGGCTGCTGCGCTTCTGGACTTGATCCATTGTGATTTATGGGGTCCTGCACCCATCACTACACTTTCTGGTTTTCGATACTATGCTGTTTTTGTAGATGATCATTCTCGATTTTCTTGGTTCTACCCTTTACGCACGAAGTCCGAATTTGTTGATGTGTTTTTACGTTTTCAATCCTTTGTTGAAAATCAATTTTCTCGTCGGATTAAAAAGTTTCAGAGTGATGGTGGCACAGATTTTACAAACCATCGCATACAATCTTACTTTGCAAGATATGGTATTCATCACCTTATGTCTTGTCCTTACACCCCCTCTCAAAATGGCAGAGCTGAACGTAAACACCGGCATATCACTGAGATGGGCCTTGCTTTGCTCTCTCATTCTTCTGTTCCCTTGCATTTCTGGGTGGAAGCTTTTAGCACGGCTGTTTACACAATTAATCGTCTTCCTAATATCATTCTTGGTGATCGGTCTCCCTTTCAGATTGTTTATGGGCATCCTCCCTCTTATGTTTCCTTTCATATTTTTGGTTGCCGTGTTTATCCTTGTCTCCGGGACTATGCCAAAATAAGTTTGAACCGCGAAGTCTTCCATGTATTTTTTTTGGATACAGCACAAGCCATAAAGGTTTTCGATGTTTTGATCCTACCTCCACTCGAATTTTCATCACTTGCCATGCAAAATTCGATGAAACCTGCGTTCCATTCTCAAAATCCAGCATCTCCAAAAATATCTCTCGTTTATCTATGTCCGATTTTTTAGATGGCCCACCTGTCTTGGTTCCCTTGCCACCACCACATCATCCGCCAGCTAAGCCATGTCATGTTTGCCTACCTGAGTTGCCAGAGTCACTTAGTCCTCCGTTGCCTACGCACGACCAAGAGCCTTTTTTCTCCACCGTTGGCCCTAGCTGATCCGTCTCCTTCTCCGCCGCTACCTTTGGCTCCACCTACCATGGCTAATGCTATCCCTCCTATTCGCACTCACCCAATGCGAACATGGGCTCAGTCAGGTATATTCAAACCTCGTTATCCTACCGACATTGCTCTTGTTGATTCTAATCCTCTGTATTCGGCTCTCACTGCCATCTCTGAACCTCGGGGAATCAAATCTGCTCTTAAAATTCCTCATTGGGTCAACGCCATGCATGAGGAACTGGATGCCTTGCGAGCAAATAACACTTGGGATCTTGTCCCTAGACCGCCTAATTCTAATGTGGTTGGCTCGAAATGGGTTTATCGCACAAAATTCTTGGCAGATGGATCTATTGATCGATATAAGGGCACGCCTCGTTGCTTAGGGTTTCAGCCAACTTCCTGGGTTTGATTTCACTCATACCTTTAGCCCTGTCGTAAAGGCGTCCACGGTCCGCATTATCTTATCTCTTGCTGTCATGTGTTCCTGGCCCCTACATCAACTTGATGTCAAAAATGCTTTCCTCAACGGCTATTTATCTAAGCCGATCTTTATGGAGCAGCTACCTGGCTTCATTGATCCCTTATATCCAAATCATGTATGCCGTCTTAAGAAAGCTCTCTATGGTCTTCGTCAAGCCCCTCTGGCCTGGTATCATCGTCTTCGGAATTTTTTGTGCACTCTTGGATTTATTTGCAGTACTGCTGACACATCTTTATTTGTTCTTCGACGAAAGTCTGTACTCATCTATCTATTAGTATATGTTGATGATATAGTTGTCATAGGAAACGACAATGCTGCAGTTTCTTCTCTATTGTCTCGCCTGCGCACCGAATTTTCCATTAAGGATCTTGGGCGTCTGGGGTACTTTCTTGGCTTGGAAGTTTCATACAACTCTTCTGGTCTCTTCCTCAGTCAGTGTAAATATGCCCGCGATATTCTCGCCCGCGCAGACTTGCTTGATTCCAAACAAGTCTCCACTCCTCTGGCTCCCGGCGCTACTTTTACAGCTGTTGGTTCTGCTTTTCATGATCCTACATTATATCGCTCATTGGTTGGTGCTCTTCAATATTTAACAATCACGCGCCCTGACCTTGCTTACTCTGTTAATACTGTCAGCCAATTTCAGCAGCACCCTACGCTTGAGCATTTTCAGGCTGTCAAACGTATTTTAAGGTATGTTAAAGGCACTCTCAGTTTCGGTCTATCTTTCTCACCAGGGCAATATGGTATTCATGGATATTCGGATGCTGATTGGGAACGTTGCATTGACACTCGACGTTCAACGTATGGATATGCCATTTTTTTAGGTCCAAATCTTATCTCATGGAGTGCGAAGAAGCAACCAACAGTCTCTCGCTCCAGCTGCGAATCTGAATACAGGGCTCTTGCTAATACAGCATCAGAACTTATCTGGGTTACTCACCTCCTTCGAGACCTTCACGCTTCTCCGGCTTCTCCTCCAGTGCTCCTTTGTGACAACAGAAGTGCACTGTTCCTCAGCCAGAATCCAGTCTCTCACAAGCGCGCCAAGCACCTCGATATCGACTGTCACTTTGTGCGAGAATTAGTCGAATATGGACGTCTGATTACTCAGTTTGTTCCGTCTTCGCTCCAGCTTGCCGATATTTTCACAAAAAGTCTTCATCGACAAGCCTATGAAATGTTCAGGTCCAAGCTTCGCGTTTCCTACAATCCCACGCTCTGCTTGCGGGGGCGTGCTAGCGATAATTATGTTAATTAATTATGCATCTTCTATACTTAGCTCCTTAATTGTCTCCCGTAGATTACTCTTGTCTTTACTTACCTTCTCTAGTCTATTTCATAAATTTCTCTTATCATTCTATATAATCATATATGTTGTAATTCTCTTCAAGTGCAATAAATCATATTATTCCAACCTTCACACTCCTATAGCTCTATCTAACTAAAGTTGGATTATTCATAATTTTAAGTTTCAATTGAAAAAAAAAAAAAGACTCCTGTCTCAATACATACGATTCATTTTTTCTTTTTATATGTCCCACAAAAGATAACTTATTTATGTTTTTACTAAATTTATCAATCTTAAATACACTAAACAACTATAAATCAATTTAATGAATTCACTCGAAATTTTTTTATTTATATTCATATTATATATAATTTATTGAAATATAATATTTAAAATATTTATATTTTAGATATTTTTTGATCATTAAATAACTAATTATCACTGTTTAACTAATTAATCTATACTACCTAAATTTTGGTAACATGTTTCATCTTTGCCAGAGAGAGAGAGAGAGTATTAATCAATTTGTTCCCCCAAAGACTCCGAAAGCATAGTTGAGCAAGTTGGAGTGGATTTAATGAATCCACTTGATGCTGAAAAGGCATACCAGTTGTCTATATTTTAATCAAAGACTCCAACGACGTCGTTTTAATTTGGCAGATATCGAGAGACAAACAATTGAGGATACACAAAGTTGATTCCCACGGCTCTCATGTCTTGAGAAAGCTTTGTCTGAGTACGTACTTTTATAAATAAAGAACAAAAACCATAGAAATAAGTGAGCTAGTGCACTGAATTTGAATGAATGATTTGTGGGGTCCGATTAATTTTTTGAATATTTAGAAGATTGAAATGGAGTGCCAATTATACTGTGGGTGCCCACCACATGTTGAAGATAACGTTGCTGCCATGCTTTTCCTTTCTATCTCATCAAGCTCTTTCAAAATATTCAAAGTTGAACCTCTCTAATTATTCGTCAGTTAATTTTCATCTGTGCTTTCGATCTGATCTTCATCACCTTTGAGAGAGAGACATGGCTGTTGCTGCTTATGCATCCTTGCTTTCTATTACTCATCTCCTCAATAACCTCCACTACCGTGCCAGCTTCAATCTCCCTCGGGTCGACAATAATCAAGTCGAAGCTCTCCAGGAACATGTCAGTTCCTTGCTAGAATTTGTCGAGCTTCATTCCGAAAGGAAGAGCTCTGAGCTTCAAGGTTTGTGGAAGGAACTCGCTGAGGTTTCCACAGAAGCAGAAGGTGCCATAAACTTCCACATAGCCAATCTACTGTATGCGAAATCTCAAGGAGAAACGAGTGATACTTCCAACTTCTCAGCTCTCTGTGAAGAAATGGAGACACTGATAAAAAAGTTCTGCTCCATCAAAAAGGAGTTGTCACTGATAGAAGAAGGAGAGGATAATCAATCCCAAAAGCAACCCACTCCTTTTGTTCCTGCTGGTGGTTCATCCGCAGCTTCTTCACATGTCAGCAATGTCGTGGTGGGATTGGATGAGCACGTGGATACGATCAGGAACAAGCTCATCAGAGGTAGTTTTAATCTCCAAATTCTGCCCATCGTTGGGATGGGGGGAATTGGTAAGACCACTCTCGCTAAAAGTGTCTTTGATGATAGGTTTGTTGTCGACCACTTTGATTTACTCATTTGGCTTTCGATTTCTCAACAGTATAGTGTTGAACATATACTTAAAGTTGGCCTTGGAGAAATGGTATTAGAAAATCAAATATTGGAAAGTTTAGATGCGTTGGGAACTAGATTCTACCAAAAATTATTCGGTAGAAGGTATCTGATTGTCATGGATGACATGTGGACAACTGGTGCTTGGGATGATCTACGGAGGTTTTTTCCCAACAATGAGAATGGAAGTCGAATTTTATTGACGACAAGGCTTTCTGACATGGCTGCTTCTTTAGGATCTTATGATCCTTACATGCTAACTTTTTTAGACGAGGATAAAAGTTGGAACTTATTTTGCCAAAGTACTTTTTCAAAAACTTTTTGTCCATACAGCCATTTAGAGAGATTTGCAAAAGATATTGCAAAAAGTTGCAGAGGGCTTCCTCTAGCAATTATTGTTGTTGGTCGTGTTCTTGCGAATTCTGACATGACTGCAAAACATTGGGAGAATATTGGGAAAAGTATTACTTCACTCGCTAATTTAGGAGATGACGAGCATTGTATGACAATACTTTCTTTAAGTTATAAGAGCTTGCCCATTCATCTCAAACAATGCTTTCTATATATGCGAGTTTTTCGAGAAGATGAGTTAATATTAATCTCGAGGCTAATCAGCTCTTGGATTGTTGAAGGATTCATTAAACCCTCATGTAATAGAAGTTTGGAAGATATTGCCAACGAGTATGTACGTACTTTGATCAATCGAAACCTCATATTTGCTAATGGTACACTACGTTGTGGTATCCACGATCTTTTACGGGACCTTTGTTCAAGAGAGTACGAGAATGAAGGTATTCTCCAATTTCCAAGAGCACAAAATGATGATTTATTGTTGGGAAAAGCTCGTCGATGTAGCCTTTGTTATAATAAAGTCAAGGACGACGAAGCAGGAACGCACGTTCTAAAGCCATTTCATGTCTTTGGATCATCGTCACAAGTTACTCCTTCCTCTTGTGGTTCCTGTAAAATGGTTTATTCCCGTGTTGAAATACCTACTTTGGTGAAGATTGCATATTACAATGATGATTTAGAGAAGGAAAAATTGCAGCCGATAGAATTGCGTCATGTTAGCTTAGATGAGCCTAAATTATTGTCTCCATCAACATTACATATACTTTGGAATATTCAAAGCTTAAGAATAAGGAGAGGTTGTTCACTAAAGTTTTTACCACAAGAGATTTGGGAAATGCCACAGCTCAGAAACATTGTATCTTTATACAGAATATTTTTACCTGATCCTATTGTGGGAAAAGATGTCGTTGTTCTGAAAAACCTTCACTCCATAGATGGACTGTCTGAATTCAAGTGTACCGATCAAGTCATTGCTCGAATTCCAAATCTGAAGCATTTGAATGTTCGATATAGAGACAATGTCGGAGAGGTCCCCGAGGAATGGGACTTTTTCCTATATAATCTTTGCCAACTTCAGAAACTTGAATCCTTGTGGTTAAAGGGCTGCGTGCATAGCCTGAGCTTACCTAATTCACTCAAAGAACTGCATTTGAAGCATTGCGGATTCGCATGGGAAGATATGTCGATTGTAGGTTCATTGCCTGCTCTCGAAAGACTTGAGATAATTGGTGTCATGAAAGGGTCCGAATGGGAGCCTGTCCAAGGGGAATTTCTCTGCCTGAAAGACCTCACTGTAAAATCGAACAATTTAGTTTGTTGGGCAGCTGATGCAGCTCACTTCCCGATTCTTGAGCGGCTTACACTTTATAAGTTACACTTATTGGAAGAGATCCCTTCAAGCATCGGAGATATACCAACATTAAAATCAATTATTGTGAAGGGGTGCAGCGACTCTGTCGTCGAGTCGGTGAAGCAAATATGGGAGGAGCAGCACGAGATGGGAAATGATATTACAGTAGGCGTTGTTGACAAAAATTGGCTGGTCAGATATCAAGTCGGTACTTTCACTGCAAGAATGACTGGGGCTGCTTGTGAATCACTCGCTTATTTAAAATGCCTACGGGAAATACTTGAAGAGGTTACTGGACAAGGCGGCGATTCTCTAGATACAAAACAAGTCGAATCCATGCAGGAAGACATCCATTTCTTGAAGCACTTTGTGAAATATTTTCATGTGAGTAAAAGCCAAGAAATGGAAAGTCTATTGGAAGATATAGAACAGGCTGTCCAAATTGGAGCCGCTCTGACGGGCAGGCTACACTCGGACATTCGCGATGGCGTGAAAATTCTGTTGGATAAAATCGACTTCATAAAAGATGCACTGTCTGTGGAGAAAGAGGATGAGCATGGTGAAGATGTTCAAGATAATGATGCAACATCGTACGATATCAACTCATTGGGGATTATAATGTATTAGTGATAAAGATACCAGAGAATATCGAATTTGATCCATCACTGCAACAAGGAAAAAGAGTTTGTCATTTTCGAACATCTCTAGAACCGATCTCCCAAAAATGTATGTGATGAAGGCAACTCATCCTTCTCTCTACTTGTCGAAGCCTTCACGAAAGCTGCATAACATTTTAAGGTATGCTTTACTTCTGAAAATTTCATCCTAGTTTTTTTCTTTTTTTTTTTTTTCCCATTTTTTGTATTAAGCAATATACTATATATGTTGCTGCTTATACAAGGTATAAATCGAAAACTATTAGTACAGATTGCTTAAAATTTAGAAAGATATTTTTATTGGCTAACCTAGTCATGCCCATTCTTTGAAAAGTATTTAGTATTTGGCATTCAAATTTACCATTTATATTTCATTCATAATATTTTCTGAGAATACTAATGTTATTTTAGTTTTCTTTGAGGATCTTAAAGACTCGGTTTCTTCTTCTTTAGGATTACAGTGATCTAGACAACCAATTTCACGTATTGAACCATATTATTGGATGGAAAGTTTATGAAATCCTCAGTTGTCTTTGGGGTAGGCTTCTTGATTGAAAATGATAATTTGATACGTGGTTAAAAAGTTTTGAATTCTGTTTAGGAATTGAATTTTTTTTTTTTTTTTTGTAACAACTTCTAAATGATTAGCTATAGTGTGGAGTATTTTGTTTGAATAATTATTTTGATGATATATATTTTTAATATATTCTATATCTATAGATTCGCCATTTTCTTTTTACTTTTCTCAAAAGGAAAAAAATTTTATTTCTCTTTCTTGAATGTCAATTTGAATTTATTGAAAGAGTGGATATACAAAAATGATAGCTATACCATTATTTAAATTCTATTTTTATATAAATTTATTTGTACATTTATTTCAGGCATAACATAAAGATCTATTATTCATATTTTACTTATCCAATAGGAAAAACATGTAAAAAATTCAATATTTATTCTTCTATTTTGAAAACCAAATTCGTCTTTTTTTCGGTATTGCTACTATTAAATTCTTCTTCTAAATCATCTAACTGAATTTAAAATTCAAGATTTATGATTTCATTTTTCTTAATTTTCATTTAAGATATTGTTCGTGACGAAGGTGGTGAATTAAAGAGTTCTGTAATTAGTAATTAGATCGTAATGTGTTTTCTAAATTAATTGACTTAGTTACTTCAGAAGGTTCATTTATTTTTTAAAGAAGATATGGAAGATGAATAACTTGTTCAAGGCATTTATCTATATATATGTATGAGTTAAATCTAAAAATGATTGATTGATTGGGTTGCTTTATTGTTTCATCATTTTCTTTTTGTCTAAGTTTCTAGGTATTTGAGGGGCAAATATTTGAAATTCATCTGGTATTGTTATTTTATTACATTTTAATCTTTTAGGGACAATAATAAAGGATTGTTCGGCTTGTATTTGTAATAGTACTATTTCTTCTTTATTTGTCGGATTTAAGCTAAATTTTAGATTCAATTAGGAGGTCATTAACCTAAAAATATTTCTATATATTTTTGCTAACTTTTAACTTAATTTTTCAAATTCGTCAGCTTTTAAATGCACGTCTAATAATAATGAATATAATATTAGGGATATGTTAAGTCTATTGAAAAATGTGGTGAACAATTATAATATATTAAACTATTGCAAATATTGGTTTGTATAGCCAATAATGAAATGTTGTAAAGTTTTAATCTTTTATTTTTAAAGTTAAAGATACTGGAGCATCTACTTAAAAAAAAAACTATACATATTTTGTCGCTAAAACTCTTTTGTAATAAATTAAACTTTTATAGAAAAAGAATTTTAGTTACAAAATCATATTTTCGTATCGTATATCTCTTTTTAACTTTCATTGCAAAAGACTTTAATTTTTTGTTAGGAAAGTCATTTTTTTATTTTTTCTTTTTAATGGATATATATCAATGGAGAAAAGTCATATTTGTTGCTAAATACCTTTACTAATGAGGTCCAGACGACGAAGTGAGTTTCATCGAAAAAATATTTTTGCTATGAATTATTACCTTTTGCTACGAAATTTTTGTAGGTAAATTTGAACTTTTTTGTAGTGGGTGACGGTGGCGGCGCTGGCCGCGGGGGAAATTGAAAAATAAAAAAAAATCAATTATTTCAGAAGTTCTAAGACTATTCAAATTTTCGGAGCTATTTTGAGTAGTATCGGAATTTCAGAACCTACAAAAATAAGATCAGAAATTCTGAGACTACTCAAAATAGCTTCGGAATTTCCGATATATCTAAAACACCGACGAGATTTCTATTACAGGTGCATATCCGAGACAATGTCCGATGCTAAACAAGAGTAGGTTCGGACTTAGATAGAATTTCCCACGCTAAAGACAAAAATTCTAGTAATGTAACTTTTATAAGGAAAGGTATATAAGAATTTTCAAAAGCAGTAGTTTTCTAAAAATAAATGAACTGAGATTTTAGCTAGTTATAAAGGTTGTATAAGAAAACAATATCAATACATATATTGGTTTTTTGCTAGTACTGGCAACGACTTATTCTGCATTTCCAACCCCAACTTAAAGAAAAGAAAAAAGTGAATATCTATGTTTTCACTTGTATCTAATGATTCCAAATACAATGTTAGGGTATATCAAAATAATATGAGGCAAATCTATCCCGAGCTTTAAATCCCCAAACTCGTTGTTTTATATCTTTAGAGCTCAAGCAAGCCTAAATGATCGAGTTTTCACCTTAGTGGTGGCTAGATCTAGAAAAGTCAATTTCCTATCTTCTTTGACCTCTTGGACTTTGATTATGTCCTCCCCGCGGCGGATATGATATTTCTTTTGAATATAGGATTAGAATTTTGTTGGACGATTTATCAGATTTTGGGCTTTGAAAAATTTCACAAATTTTGCGTCAATAAAGCCCATAATATTGTAGTTACTAATATAAGCATTTCAAGTATTATTACATAAATTTTGACCCTATTATGATATTTGAACTTAAATAGCATATCTTAAAATGTCATAATTTTCTCCAATAAAAAATTAATTGGATCCAAGGAAATTAATGTAGAACATTCCATGCAAAATATATAATCTCAAGATGAATTTAATGAATAGGGAGTATTATAATTTAGTCTTGTCTTGCTAAATAGGTCTACAATAGTGAAAAAATATATACTTTGCAACTTACACTAAATAAGCTTAGCATAGTAACAATAAAATACTTTGAAATGTAATAAAAAGGGCTTATTAGCTTTCAACCCTTGTTGCGTGACATTTTAGGTTCACTCCATGTACTAACATCTATGCATTCAAGGCTATGGTAGCAACCCATAATTTGGAAAAATTGCATTCCTGTGCATGGTAGCAACATCTATGCATTATGTCGATTGGGATAGACAAAAATAAAGTGAGAGATTTTTTAAATGGCCTTTCAAAAAGTTCCTGCTTATTGAATTATCATTACAAACATTTTATCCATAATATTTTTCCGTTAGGGAAAATTGCACAAATATATATATATATATATATTACTCTGTCCGTCCTAATTCAAAGTACCGTTTTTACTATTTCTGTTAGTTGAATTCAAAAGTACCTCTTTTTTATTTTTTTCTAAGTAAAAATAATCATACATTCATACTAAAATAACTTTAACTTTTATTTAAATTACAAAACATACTATTACATATACAGTTATTTTACACAAAAATTCAAATGACAAAAATGTCAAAATCTCTTATATCCAATAAAATATTATTATTTCTTAATTTATTACAAAATTTTAAAAGCCACTTTCAAAAGGGACGGAGGAAGTGCATTATAACTTTTGTTCTTTATTTATCTAATTGAAAATATATATCTTGCATGTTCAAAAAATTGCAAATTTCTTACCCAAGCAGCTGTGATCTTCAATCCTACTCACTTTGGTCATCTTCAGTTTATTAAGGTCACATTGTAGCCTAGGCTGTGGGTATAAAAAAAATGTGAATTTTTTTAATGTAAATGATATATTTTGTCAGATGAAGATAAATGAATACAATTATATAGTTTTATAAATTTTTTAATGAACAAACACATTTATATAATTTTATAAGTTATAGTAAATCTATTAAATCTAGTTTATATATATTTTTATTTATAATTATCTTTTAATTTATAAAAAAAATATGGTGATGTATCTTAAATATTTATATACATTTAAATAATATTATATGATAATTAAATTATCTTATGATACTAAACTTGGAATACTAAATTAAATAATACTCATTTCGTCTCATTTCAATTGTCATAATTTCTTTTTTTGTCTAACTCACTTTACTTCAATTGACAAGTTTCTATTTTTGGTAAAATTTATTAAATTTAAACATACTTAACAAATATAAATCAACTTAATTAACCTTATAATATATAACATTATATATCATATGGGATCCACTCAAAACTCTTCTATTTTATTTATCTCCTTAATAAAAAAAAAATTCAACATTTACAACTCCCCGCTTTTATAAAATTTATTTATCTTAATTATAAATAAATAAATATATTTATTAATCTATTTATATTATTTAAAATTTTTATATTGCATATATTTTTTTATTGAGATATAATATTTAAAAAATCTAAACACATATTTCAAATTTATTTAAATTATATATATTAATTCTTATGTTAAAATTATTAACCGTAGTTCTTATATAAAATATAATAAAATAATATCATAACTCACTATTATTACCTAATTAATCAATTTACCTTAAATAATGTGTTTCAAATGAATTGAATCATTTCAAATAGGACGGAGGGAGTATATATCACAAATATATATAATTTGGAATTTCTATAAAAAGATTTTAAAAAAAATAATTTTCAATTTACAACGTATATAATATTGACAGTTTTACTCATATGGTCACTTATCAATATTGTTTTAATTTTTTTATAACTTCTTAAAATAAAATAAGTAAAAAAATTAATAAAAAAAAATTACACTATTTATGAAATTACTATTAATTTTTAATATAATTTTAAATTTTAAATATTAAAATTTATTTTAGAATTTTTTAATTAATTTTAAATATTAAAATTATAAATATTCAGACACAAATTAGATTTAATAAATAATACTTTTAAGGATTTATGCAATTTAATGTTATTTAGTAATAAGATAAATTTTTAATTATTAATGCAAAAAATTTCTCAAAAATAGAAATAATCACATCTATAAATACTTATAAGAAATAATATATACATATATAAAAAATAGAAAATTAAAGAAATATATAAAAAATAGAAAATTAAAGAAATATAATAGTGTATATAAACAAAAAATAAAATAATAATTAAAAAATTATAAATTATTGAATTTAAAATTATTGACAAAGTTTGAACAAAATAATTAATTGTGATAGAAAAATAGAAAAAAATAATTAAATAAATAATATAAAAGTTAAATACATAGAAAAAGACAAAAAAAGCTATAAGGCAGAAATTGCAAAATTTGAAACTAAGTCAAATCATGACAGGTGACTTAATACACTGAAAACACGGTGATTGAGCCGCACGCGCATTTGTGTCCGAGATATAAAAAAATACGATTTTCTAAGAAGTGTAAAATATTATTTGCTAAAAAAATAAATAGGGGATAAAAATAATAATTAAATATATATCGAGGATATATTTTCCAATTTTCTCTGTCTTAATATAACCTCATCTATAATACAAACTTGATTCATCGATGAAATTTTTTATTTTAAAATATATGCCACTGTGAAAACGTTGTATAAAACATAATTTATATCAATAGGCATATTATAATTAAATCGTTCATAACATACAAAACTCCAATCACAACTAAACCTGAACACATTTGTTGGCAAATTCAAAGTTGTCAAACCCTTTTGTTTCTACTTTTGGCAGCAAGTATGCAGGATGTTGTTGCAGGTTTTGTTTGACACCATTTCGGGAAACCTGCCAACTGCAGAGTTGACCGAGTTACAGCTTTTGGATCCATCTTGTGTGTTCTACACTCGATGAAATAGGACAAATGAATATGCATTGGACAGAGGACGTACAGGAGAGGCTGCATGTATTGTCCTCTCATACTGGATGGCATTAAATGACCTTGAACACACTGCCCCAAAAGTTGTCACAGTCAACTTGTATCTTTTGTGTAATGTGTATATATTTGATATGGATGTTTGTTTGTTTGTGTGGGTGAGCAACCAGAACTTAGAGAAGTATTCCTTCACCTGTTAGAGTGTTGAGAGAGCTCATCCATGGAGGGTTGAAGACGAGAAGAAGGATTCTTGGAGTCGAAGTCGAAGAAGATATCCATCCGGTAAACAACCTTATTCTTAACTTGGTCGCTGGCCTGTTGGAGTTGTTGCGGTAAAGTAACAGCCGGTCCATGAGAGTTTATAAAACTAAATGGAGCTTTGGTGGAAGATAGGTTGGGTAGTTCGGTTTGGTGTCATATATGGTGTAAACCAAAGTATTTGGTTTAGTTAAGACTCCTAGATTAAAATCCCCCAGACGTAGGTTGGAAGACCGAACTGGGTAAACAACCTTGATGTGTTTTTTTTCTTTCTGCACTTATTCAGCCATCGATTCGTGCATGAAACACACACCTCTATTATAACCACGAGACAACTACGCTGTAAAGTTGTGTTTACGTCGAACGTTTCACAGTTCCACTATGCAAGGTACTCGGAGGCATTGGACCTCTTTCGCGCCTCTCTCCGCGGCTTCCAACATCTGGTATCAGAGAAGCATGCTCAATACCCTGAGTAGATCTGTCTGTGGTTCAAGATGAGTCGTGAAGTAATGTCGTCTATTCGTCCATCTGTGTTCGATGGGAACAACTACACCTACTGGAAAAACAGGATGGAGGCATATCTGTTAACTCTTGGTGATGAAACTTGGGAAGCTGTAGAGCTTGGCTGGACTCCTCCAACCAAAGTTGTGCCTGGAGAAACTCAAAACGACCCCCTAACTATCGTTCTAAATTCGAAAAATGAGTGGACACCTGAAGGAAAAATTGCTGCTGGTGGAAATGCCAAAGCTGTAAAGGCCATATTTGCTTCTGTCGATGAAGTTCAGTTTCGTGTCATCTCAAACTACAAGAAAGCAAAAGATGCATGGAGAGCCTTGGAAAATGCATTCGAAGGGACTGCTGAAGTTAAAGAAACAAAACTCCAAAGGGTAGAAAGTATGTTCGAAACCCTGAAAATGACTGATGATGAAACAATGTCTAAGTTCTACACTCGATTCAAAGATGTGGTGAACCAAGCATATGCTCTTGGCTTAGTATATGATGAACAAAGGCTGGTTCGAAAGATGCTGAGAAGTGTGAACAAAAAGTTCAAAATCAAAGTCTTTAATCTTGAGGATAAGAAGAAAACCAAGAACATGAATGTTGAAACATTGAATGGTATTTTCATGAATTGGGAGATGAATCATATTGAAGAAGAAAGTTCAAAAGGGATTGCTCTTATTGCCGAAGATCTGGAGCTTGTCGGATCTGATGAAGAAATGTCTCTTCTGTCCAAGAAGTTGTCTCGAATGATAAGTGAAAAGCGTGCTCGAAAATACCACAATTCTAGAAACAGAGGTCACTATGGTGGTAAAACAACTGGTGAACAATGAAAGTATCCAGAACACAAAAGTGTTGGTTACAACAAAGAAAATGGAGCTTATGATAAAAGCTACAAGAAAAAGTTCAACACTGCTTCTAGGCCAGAAAACTTAAGTGATCCGAAATGCTTTGCATGTGGCGGAGTTGGTCATGTGAAAGTGGAATGTGCTACATTCAAAAAGAAAGGTAAGCATGCATTTCAAGCTACCTGGAGTGATGAAGAAGGTAGTCAAGAATCTGAAAATGAAAGTGATAATGAAAGCGTTGTTGCTTTTGTTGCCAAAGAAGGAGAATCTAGCAAAGGAAAAGAAAGTGTTCCTGAAGAAGAATGTAACAGCAACGACACAATCGAGATGGATATCTATGAGCTAATGGAGGCTTATGAGGAAGTAGTAGCTGAACAAAAAATTTGTGTTAAGAGAAACAAGGATTTGATCAACATGGTTTACCGTTTGGAAGCTCGAGTTGAAAAAGCTGAGGAAGTGAATCAAGAAATGTTCGAAATCAATGAAGGACTTCAGAAGGACGTCAAGCAGTTGAAAATTAAGTGTGATGATCTGAGAGAAGAAAATGATAGACTCAGAAAAGGAAAAGACAAACTCGATGAATTTTTATCTATTGGAAAGCCATTTGGAGATCATCGTGGGATTGGTTATCAAGAATCCATGAAGGTGACTCCAACTACCTTTGTGAAAGGAGGTTTGCTTACTGATGTGAAGATTCCAGAGAAACCTGCAAAAGGGAAGAACACTAAAGGTCCCAAAGAAAACTTAAAGAGAGACAAAATCAAAATCGCAGAAGGAACATACGTGTCAACGCGTTGTTACAACAGAAGAG